TTTAACGTTTTATTTTATTTTTTGTCTCTGTCGATATTACAATACGATTTTATGTGTTTTTAGGGAAGCAATAATGATTTTATTTTTGAATAAAATATAAATTTGAAAAATTCATAAAAAATTGAAAACATATATATATATATCAATGTTAATATGAAATCAATTATTTAAAAGTTCTCATTTTTATGTAATTTCTTTAATTATAATTTAGTTTAAGTTTAATAATAAAATAATTTATTTTTGGTTTAACAATATAACATTTTATAAAGATAATAATCAAGTATTCTGTTATAACTCAATGATTATCCTAATTGTATTTTAAATTTTTTATATTTAAAATGAGATGTTTATTATGTATTTGATTATGTTTCTCTGCAGTTAGTTACACGAATTCAGATATAGAGTTTTAAAAAGTTGTACTTACGCACTATCTACTTGTAATTTCGAATTTTAAATAATATGCATTGATAAACTGTACTTTACGCATAAAAAATGGTTTCTAGGAGTTTTTGTCAAATGCTTTATAATATAGTATATATATGTATATAGTTATACACACATATCTATTCAATAATAAAAACTTCATAAGTTGATGTGAAGTGACAATTAGCAAGTTTTTTTTTTATATATTTCAAATTATATATTTGATATTTATTTATAAATAGACTAATAAATTTAGATGTAAAATATATTGAACCCACAAAAATGTTCTTATCAGAATTACCATTGTAAACTTTTTACATGAATTCTTAATTTGTTGAGTTCAAACTAATGCGATAATAAAAAGAGGAATTTTTGAAAAACCACAATTAATTTTTATATTTTGAATAATTAAATCATTGGACAATTTTTTTTAACAAATAAATCTTTGCACATTTTAAAACCTATTAAATAGATCCTCGTTACCTAAAAAAATAAAGAGTAACCTCCATAGCCCATAGACATCAAGAATAAAGGAAAAAAACTTGATCCTAAATCAACTATTTTTTTTTTGAAAGACGACAACATATTAAAACCAAACAAGAACTAACAATACAAAACGACCAAACCAAAACCAACCTATATCAACTAATTAAATTATCAGAACCAAAATATCCCATGTCACCCACCAATAGACCCCATCGCATTTCCATCCTTGTTGCCTCTTCTCCGGCCGATCATTTAGGTTACTATTTTGGTAACCAGTAGAAAAGAAGAGTGTATACAAACTCATCGACAAAGATACTACTTTTCTGCATAACCTTTCTCTCCCTCTCTCCATCTTTTTTAGTATACTTCGTGAGGTGCAAACCATAGCCGAGAAACTTCTGCTACAAGTCCCTTTTTTAATCAGTCTTCGTCGCCTGCCACACACTGTCGGCTCCATCTCTGGCGAGACCATCCCTCTCATCTTAGGTTCGATTCTCATCTTTCTCAACAATTCATTAGTTCATCCAACAAATATAAGTAATATTCATCTATGGGCACATGGATATCGAAGAATTATTAATTAACATATATAGATATGCCTCTTTATTAAACTAATATTATGTGACTTGAAGTCTTCAATCCTCTGGTATTGGGTCACTTGTTTGCAATTGTATAATATCGTATAAGAATTGAAGAAAGAAATAAGTAATCTTCACGATGTTAGGGTTTTGATCATTTAATTGATTTAGGATTAAGTTTTTTCCTCTTTATTATTGATTTTTATCGATTAGGCAGGTTACCAGTCATTTCTTTAGGTAACAAGGACCTACTTAATAGGGTTAGAATGTTCAATAATTTATTTATTCAAAAGATAATCTAATAACTTAGTTACTCAAAACATAAAAAAATTATCGGAATTTTTCGTACTTTTCTCTGTTAAAAAAATAGGATCATTGCCATTTATTTAGCCTTTGACTTTAGTATGTCAACCATTTGGTAACCTTGATTTTACGCGTAAGAGGCGAACCACATGATTTTTTCTCAAGTCAGCTTTAATAATTAATTTTTATATATTATAAATAGTTTTATATTCTCAATCAAAAAATAAACCATATAAAAATTATAAATTATACATACCAATCTCATTTAAAGAATATATGGCCTCATAAATATATCAATTATTTTTAATATAAAATATTAATTATAATTAATGAACTACATTCATTTTTAATTAATATACAAATCATAATAATTAAATCTTTATCATTATTTCGATAAATAGTAGTTTGTGTAGTTGTAATATTTAAAATGTTTGTATTTGATTTATGGTCTAATTTTATAAGTAGTTTCTGTTAGTTGACCAAAATAATAAGTGTTTATAGTATAATATGTATATTATAAATTTAAAAAATATACCTAATATAATTTAATTACATTAATTTTTAATTTAACAACACATATATCCATGAGAATTATTGAAATATATAAATGAATAGATAAAATATTACTGTCAAAAATTTATTTGGCCAAAAAAATTAGTAAATAAAATAATTTAGCAATTAATAAATTAGAAGCATATAAAATCAAGTTCTATATTTAAAATTGGACCAGATTTTATATTATCAGATATTTTAAAAGCATTTTACTTTGCAAAGAATACTGTGATGTGGATGGCCTTATATCTATAGATCGATATTAAATTTGTGTGGTTCATAAAATATATAAGTAACTGAAAGAAGTTCAAACATCATTTAATGAGCCGATTATTATCATCTTTATCCTTATATAAGTTATAATATATCATATCTTTAATAAAGTTATCAATTACGTCATTCATTTCATTTTAAAATAAGTGTCTATATTTTTATTTATTTATAATTAGCATTTATTTTCAAAACTAACCAAATTCTTAAATTTATCCTTGATTATTGTATTTTTTTTTTAAGAGTTGTGAATAGAGATAAATAAAATAAGGTTAATGAGGTTATTTTGTTAACAAAAAATGTAATAATTATATATATGTATGTCTAAAACTCTGTGTCATTTCTATTGTCGACACTTATTTTATAACGAAAAAAGTACTATTTTCGATGGGCTGTTTATCAAATATTAATGCAAAATATTTAATATATGAGTATTGTAAAGACTAAGAATTTTACCTGTTAAAAGGAATAACAAGAACTTAGAAACTTACCCGGTGAATGAGGGAAAAGACTTACCCGGTAATAGCAATTATCAAATTAAATACAGTTACTAACAATTCATTTTGATGGCCGATAATGTTGTAGATAGGAACACATGAAAATGGTGGCTCTTGCCAATAAACGATTATGCGACAAGTATTTGAAAAACAACCCCTAAATTTTATATAAAATTAGAAAATTTTATTGTGGTTCACAATTTTTTTATTTTTTTTTTCTATTTAAAAAAATTATTTTTCATAGTTATTAATAAATAATAAATCATTTTAATAAAATATACTTTAAATTAAACTTTATATTTTCGAAATAATTATGGATATCCAATAACTATTACAACTTATTATATTTTTCAGAACCGTAACGTTTAAATTACTTATTGTAAATGTAATTAAAATAATAAATTGGAGACATGTCTGATCCAAACACTAAGGTCCGTTTACCAAACATTTACCCGAGTAAACGTTTACTTTATTTACATTACTTTACCGAATGAATATGGTAAGGAACAAGAATCTTACCCGGTAAAATGGAGACAAAGACCGAGAGTCTTACCCAGTAAGTGAGGGCGACGACACTTACCATGGTAAGTTCTTACTGGGTAAATTGTTGCATACTATGTCGTTTTGTTGTTAAATTTTACCAGTAAACGCTTACCGGGTAAGTGTTTGATAAACGGTCCCTAAATCTCAAAATTTTACATCAGTTTACTCTAAAATCATGGTTATATCATTTTGGCATCTATGAATAATATAGTACCAAATTTTGATGTTTCATTTATTTTAATTTAATGTTAGACAATTCTTAATTACAAAATAGCTTTTTAAATTTGATAATTACGTGATTTTAATTTATTTAATTGTAAAGATTAATATTTAGGTTATAATATTTGTTAATGTAATATTATATTATATTATATTTAAGTTAATTTATAAAATATAATAAATTTTAGTTTAATGTTTCAACAGTCAAACTAATTTAATAATTTAATACACAACACATTTAAATTATTAAAAGACACCAATCGTTGTCCGGTGACAAATATCTTGGAGAAGTTTGTTAATAATTTGTATGGTTACAATTGCATAATATTTTAAACTATAAAATTAATTTATTGCAGAAATTTTAGTTTGGTATAAAAAGCCTTTAATCCATCAATATTTGAGTATTTGATATCATAAGGTCAGAAGTTCAAACCTAAACAACAGTAAAAAAGGGTGTGAAGTTTAATTATCGCATTTTTTATATATACAAATATAACAAATTCTTCAAGTAAATAAATAAATAAGATTAAACCTAACATTATTGTGAAACTTTAGTTAAAAATATAAACACAACAAAACTAACGTTACTTTATAAATATTTAACTATTAATTTTATAAATTAACTAAATAACAATGTTATCTTATTTATGATAGAACTGAACATAGACATTAAAAATAAACATTTGTTTTGCAACAAATTAATATTTATGAATATTACAACTACTGACTATTGTACACAGAAGATAGTGTGAGAAACAAAGTTATGGAAAAAAGTGTAAGAAGAGATCTAAACTCTTGATCACTTTTAATTTAATTCTCATCCAAGAATTACGCCTTAGAAATGAATTGATTCGTTGCATCTCAGTGCACCTTATTAATATTGATATTCAATTAAGATTGATCTTAGAGTAAATATTTATTCTTACAGTTCTCACAATAACTTTTATTGTCAACAGAATTTAACACTGTAAATATATAATTATAAATTATTAAAAAAAAAGATATATACACATATATCTATTTTTTTCCTTGTAAACATTCAAATGCTTGGTTAAATTTTATTTCTATAGGAAATTTACAATTAAAACCTTCCTATTCCCCCCTCCTTTTCTTTTCTGTTTCCATTTTCCAATAATAGAAATATGTGCTTAAGGTGTATGTGTGTGTGAGAGAAGAAAAGTTGTATGACAACTTGCATGCTTTTACTATCTTCAGTAACGAAAACTGCTACTGCTACCGCTACCGCTACCGCTACCGCTCTCAGATAACCCTAATAACTCTTCCAGATACTCTCTACCCAGGTCCTCCAACACGACGACGTTTTTCACCTTAGCCTCCTCTTTCTTCTTCTTCTTCTTCATCATCGTTGATTTCCTCTTCATGGTGTGCTTCTTCTTTAGTGCCAAAACCGGTGAACTCCCTTCCTCGTACTTGTAATCCATCTTCCTTAAAGATGCATACACCAACTCCTCCGAGAAGTTAAGGACAGCCGCAGAACCCCGGACGGAAAACGCCGCCTGGTCATATGCCAGAGCCGCCTCCTCCGCCGTGTCAAATGTTCCCAGCCATACTCTAACCCCGTTTCGCGTCGAGTCACGTATCTCCGCTGCATACTTCCCCCATGGTCGCCTCCTCACGCCTCTGTAACTACACTCCTTCTCCGGCTTGAAACACTCTTCTTCTTCTTCAGGGTGGTTCGTCGTGTGCGGTGGCTGGGCGTCGGCAATGACTCCTAAGAGAAGCATCTCTTGTGAATCATTTTCGTTAAAGGGAAGGTAGTGGTGATCGGTGGGCGGATAGTTAGGTTGGGAACTAGAGGAGGAGTACTCCGGCGAGTTGGAAGAGAAGTCCGGCGAGGAGTAATGGTAAAACATAGAATTGATCATGTTGGACTTTTGATGTGAAAGAGTGATTGTATATATATGTATATGTATATGTATATGTATATGTATATGTATATGGCTTTGTTTATAAGCTGTTATAAGGTTTTGAAATTGGATTTATTAAGATATTGTATTGGTGATGAGGGGTGGGTATTTATAGAAGAGGCGGTGCATGAACTGGTCATCACATCATGGAGCAAATGCACGAGGGTCAAACCATTTTGTTTGGACATGGCGGCTGGTCAGAAGACTAACGCTGATATCACCTTTGATCAAAGGTTTAATTAACTTGCAATAAAAAAAAACAATTAAATTCTTTTCAGCAAACAGTATATGGTAACATGTTCTGTGTTCTATTAAAGCATTTCTTTATGGTAATCCTTGTTGACTGCTATAATTAATAATTAGTTAGATGTTGTAAATTATTAGGGTTTGTTTCAATTTATCATAAAAGCTTATGTTGGGTTAAGGGCCGTTTACCGAACGCTTACTCGGGCAAACACTTACCAAATTACGTTACTTTACCAGATTAATATGGTAAAAACCAAAAATCTTACCCGATAAGAGCAAAAAAAGTAACCGAAATTTTTACCCGGTAAGTAAGAGTGACAACTCTTACCACGGTTAGTGCTTACCGAGTAAATTGTTGCATACGATGTTGTTTTTGTGGTCTAAAATCTTGCCCGGTAAGTAAGCGACAATGTTGAATTTCACGGATAAGTACTTACCGGGTAAGTGATTAGGTAAACGGGCCCTAAATCTTTAAGTGAAAATATCACTACGTAAACTACAAGAGTTGTGACTACATTTAAACTACAAATGTAGATAAAAGTCTAAAAAGGAAGGTCTGGCTTTGAAGGTTGAGTTTGAGAAGGCTTTTGATAGTATAAGTTGGGTTCTCATAATTAATGTGATGAAACAAATGGGCTTCGGTAATTAATAAATCGTGTCAATGGATGGTAGGGTGTTTAAGGACAACGTTCGGTTTCTATTTTGGTTAACGGATCCCCTAAAAAGAAATTTGATTTAGGTCGTGGTGTAAGACAAAGTGACCCTCTTTCATCCTTCTTATTTCTTATTCGTTGCAGAGGGTCTGAACATTGTTTTAATTACGAGAGGCAACAAGGAAACATTTTTTTTCCATATGATATCGATTGGCTCAGATGATAATGCGGTTTCCGTTTCACGCCCTCAATACGCTAATCATACTATTTTCTTTAGCGAATGGGATGAATCTAATGCTAGAAACTTGTTGAGAATTCTGAAATGATTTGAACTTTCATCGGGACTAAAAATTAAATAAATATTAATTTTTTTCAAAAATAAGAAAGACGTGGAGGGGTAAACTTGAAAATATGAATATAAAATAAAATGACATATGATCAAATTACATTACGTAATAGGGTCGATGGTTTTAGGGAGAAAGAAATCAGTCGACTTTGGAGGCGTAGAGGAAGATGATTTTTAAGAGGTATGTGTTACGTATCACATACACAACATATATCAATGACTCCTTCTATATCATACGATTATCACAGTGTGTGTATCACACGATTAGGGGAAAATCAAGAAGTCGTTATTCTGTTTCGGCATCACGGATTTATCGCAGTGTAATAATTGTAAGGAGAAATCGAGAAATTAGACTCTGAATCAGTAATATACGCTCATTTTCCTTCTTTATCACAAGATTATCACAGTTGTGGGTATCACCTTCTTAGGGTATATTCAAGAAATTGTTACCCTGTTTGGCTATCACAGATTTATCACAATGTGATTATTGTAAGGAAAAATTGATAAATAGTTACCCTATCACACATTTATCACAAGGAAGGGATAATCATAATACAGTAGCGGTTAGGTGTTGAGGGATTGTTTTCGTAGTTGACAGATCAATTAAGAAAAGTTGGTTGAGTATCACCAGGGCCGTCCCTGAGGGAAGGCGACACGGGCGCACGCCCAGGGCCGAAAAATATCAAGGGGCCCATACTTTTCCCTTAAAATACAATAGTAGTCTTAAAGAATTTAATAAATTAAAAAGAACCCAAAAAATTGTAGCATATAATAAAAGGCAAAAAAATAGTAGATAATAAGGGCACACAAATATTTTAACTAATTACATTGAAGAATAAAATAAAAGAAATTAATTGGTCATTCATTATATGCTATTGTTTATTGTCTCTCTAATTTTTTTTTGTCTCCAATAAGGTCCATTGATATTGGCTATTGTTATCTTTATATGTTTGACTGTTTTTGTGCTTCAACAATTCAATTTTAAGATCATATGCTTGTTATTGCTATATATTTTTGTTGGATATTTTTATCAATTTATGCGTCTATTGACTAATGATATTTTGTTATCTTGTTCTAATTGTTTTTGTTGACTATTGTTATTTATTTTTGCTTCTACATAAAGTATTTTACTATTGTTTGACAATCAATCTATTGTTCTTATAACTTATGTCGTGTTTCATGGTTTTGTAATTAATGAATAATTTTTTTCTACTAGATGTATATAGTAATGTCTCTTATATATGTCATGTTCCATGAACCTTTACTCTTAACATCTTATTTTAGTTGAACACAAAAAGAAGAAAAATAGAATTTAGATATTTTCATCAATTGTTTGACATATGTATCTTTCATTGGGATTCCACCACAACACAAGATTCTATTTAAATGCTCAAATAATTATTTGTTGAACTTGCATATTATATGTTTAATTAACTCATTATTTATTTTTATTGGATCTCAATGGATTATCTTTTCTTTCATATTTTTATTGATCCTCATTTGTCTATTTGTATAGAAAATCTTGATAATGTTATCTATTATTGATCTCTCATTAACCCTCATGATTACTTCATTCATACGAATTCTCTTTTTGTATCAAAAGAACACATATTTCTTGTTATTAAGATTTCTTTCCTCATTAAATTATTAGCATTTCTTGTACTCAATTTGAAACTAATGAAAAAAATTATTGAATTTTTTTTTCGTACTTACCGAGGGTCACTATAAGAAAAGTAAACTCTAATGATGCACTTTTTAGAGATGACATGTTTCTGCTACAAGTTATAGCAGGTCGTTCTTATATACTCTTTCTGATTATAAATGAATTTTTTTGCGACGACAAAAGTCGTTGCCTTGTTTCTTGCAATGGGCCCTGTTTTTACGTTCGCCCAGGGACTATAAAATGTCAGAAACGGGCCTGAATATCACATGATTATCACAGTTAACACTTTGAATCGATATGCAGAATTTGATTGATAATCACATTGCTATCACAGATTTATCACAGTGTGATTATCGTAAGGAAAAATCGATAAATTGTTACCATATCATACATTTATCATAGGAAATGGATAAACATAATACAGTAGCGATTGGGTGTTGAGGGATTGTTTTCACAGTTGATTAAGAAAAGTTGGATGATTATCACAGCTAACACTTTGAATTGATATTATGAACTTTCAGATATGATGGGAAGAAAATGATAGGAGAAAGTGATACACGTTCAGTTGAACGTGATCAATCACAAACAAAAAAGATGAGGTAATTCTAATTAATTAAAATAAAATAAAAATTATAAAAAATACCTAATTACGTTATTGTCCTTATTGATTTATTTGTATTTAATATAATTTAAATTATTGATCAAAAAAATTTGAGCTTAATAGGTTGTTCTCGCATTCTCGTAAATTGTAGAGAGAGAGGTGAGTTATTATACAATCCGTTACATCTGTACAACCAATACAACTCAATCTCAATCATCCATTTAATTTGATGAATATGTAATTTCATAGAAGTTTTGATTGTTTTTTCTAATATAAAGTATTGATCATAATTAATAAACCTTATTCATCATCCATAAATATTTAAATTATAGTAAATGAATTCTTATTATTTTCATAAATATTTCAATTTATTAGGTTGTATTGGTTGTACAAATGCAATGAGTTGCATTTAAAACCTTATTCGTCCTAATAGACCTTTTTATAGGACTTAGTTTATAGGACCAAAAAAATAAAGTGTCATATCTAATGGTGTTGTATTAAGTTTATATGACGTTTTTTGATGTCGTAATAGGTTTTTAGGACACTTTTAATATAAAACGTCTTATTATCAACTTTATAAGACACTATTTGAAAAAATGTCCTATAAAAACAAGTGTCCTATAAAAAATTGAGTTTATAGGACAATTTCTCAAAAGTGTCATATAAAGTTGCTAATGCGACACTTTGTATTAAAAATGTCCTAAAAAACTTGTTAAGACGCCCAAAAACGTCGTATAAACTTATTACAACACTTTTACATAGGACGTTTTATATTTTGGTCCTATAAATTAAGTCCTATGAAACGGTATATTGGGACACTTAGAGATTTGGGGTGTCCTATAAACTCAATTTTGTTCTAGTGTATGCATCAGGATTATCTTTGAGGTGTTACACTATGCTTAATTAAGAGCAAATATCAAAATACAGCTGTGGATCTTCACCTTCATTAATTTGTTGAGCAAATAAGAGACGCATTGCATATGAGTAAATCGACAGACAATTATGAATGTTCATAGTGTTGCAATACCTAATGGCAAACTACTTCAAAGTTTGATTTCAAACCAAACAGCTTTATATATATATATATATATATATATATATTTGAAATTTGGTTTCATATTTGTTCTCAATTTTCAATTCTAGTTCAATCCAATTCTGAAGCATGCAAAATCTTGCTTGACCTAATTTCTTAACTTTGAAGCAAGATCAACTGCTTTTGAGTTTGAAAATGTGATTATTGCTAAAAAGTAAAAACCAAATCTATGTTGGCAGCTGCATGATAACTAATACTTAAAACTAGACTTACCAGCTGCAGGTTGGAGGAGGCAGACAGCTTAATTAGCAATATGTATCCAAACTAATTAATTCGATTTTATGTACTTAATTTTTTCATCACTAATTCCTTTCAACTATAACCTATATATCCATGGAAACTTAATTAGGTTATAAGACCGATCTGCAAGATATTTGTATTTCGCCAACCAACGCCTGATCGGCTGATTGAGATTGAATGTGTTTGAAGAAGTGCCCTTCATGTTAATTAAGAACACGTAGAGTAGAGAAAACTATTAACAAAAATAATGAGTTTCTATTGATGAAACATTAAATAGCATCATAAATCGCTAATTTATAAAAGTAGGAAAAAACGACACTTCAAACTACATACATTTGTCAACAATAATTATGTGTTCATACAGTAAGCATCATAATGATACCTGAAGACTTATCTTACAGTTTCAACCATAAATGTATCACAACAGCTTAGCATTTAATTTAAATATCATTTTTTTTTGTAATATATTTTTTATGGTTAATTAATATAATATTCACAGAACTTCCCTTTGGGGGTTTACTTTAAAATTAAATTCGAATGGCTTTCCAAAAGTGGAAGTATGTGTTTCAGGTGATGTGTGAGAGAAAGGAGAAAGCTTAATTGAAGGTATTAATTTATCATCACCAGCTATGACTACTACTGCTACAGCTCTCAGATAATCCTAATAATTCTTCCAGGTACTCCCTACCCAGATCCACCAAGACGACAACGTTTCCCACCTTAGCCTCCTTCTCTATCTTCTGCTTCTTCTTCTTCTTCATCGTCGATTTCCTCTTCAAGGTGTGCTTTTTCTTTAATGCCAAAACCGGCGAACTCCCTTCCTCGTACTTGTAATCCATCTTCCTTAAAGACTCATACACTACATCTTCCGAGAAATTAAGCACCGCCGCCGAACCTCTGACGGCATACGCCGCCTGATCGTACGCCAGGGCTGCCTCCTCCGCCGTATCAAATGTTCCTAGCCAAACCCTAACTCCGTTTCGTGTTGAGTCACGTATCTCCGCCGCGTACTTCCCCCACGGTCGCCTCCGTACGCCTCTGTAGCTGCAGTCTTTCTCTAAAATCTCATCTTCTTTAATGTGGTTGGTTGGGGTCGATGGTTGGTGGTGGTGGTGGGCAACTGTGTCGGCGATGATCCCAAAAAGAAGCATCTCTTCGGAGTCATTTTCGTTGAAAGGGAGGAAGTGGTGATTGGTGGATGGATAATTAGGAAAGAAATCTGGGGAGGAGTATTCCGGCGAACTAAAGGAGGTTTCCGGTGAAAAGGAAGGATCCATGTTGGATTTTTAGGATCAGGGAATTATTGTTGCTGTGTATAAAATTTTCTTTTTGGTTAATATTTTGGAAGTATATATAGAGAAAGACGGTGCATGAACGGGTCGTTATAGAGTTGGGGCACACCTGGTGAAGTTAATAAAGATGGTCAATCGGATTTTGTTTGGACATGGCGGCTGGTCAATGCTGATGTCATCATCGATAAGCATTTTGTAACCAACATTCAACCGCCGTTAAACTAGATTTAACGTAAAAACCTAAATTTTTCCACCTTTTTTCCTTTTTTTATCAGGGGAATACCATAATTATTCTACTTTATCCAAAAGAAAATACCATTATTATATACAACGTGACCGTTACCCAAATGCTTATTCGAAAATTGGTTATCGATAAGAATCAACATTACAATTTATTTTATTGGGTATCTGTAGTACATTAAAAAACGGTATCATATACAATAATTTACTCGGATAAAAGTCAACACATTCATTTATCAGATAAGACTTTTTGTTTTTATCAACGTATTTACCGAGTAAGATTATCAGCCCCAATCAGGGGCGGATGGCTTAAGGGGCATAGGAGGGCCATGGCCCCTGTGCCTTTACATCTCCATCCTACAATAGATTGAAAATTTAATTATAAAATAATTGAAATTTTATTTTGGCCTCCCCATTTATTCACCATTAAAATAATATACATCAAGTCTAGCAAATGTTTTATTTAAATAATAACTTGATCTCTTCATTGTTTGTCAAGCCAAATATTGTTTATTTTTCATTTTAATTAGGCTAAAAATTATTGGTTTCTATAGTTAGAACTAAATATTTTATTGTGAAACAATTGTTAAGGAGATTTAGGGGCGGTTTACTAAACGCTTATCCGGTGAGTACTTACTGGACAATTTTTCTTACCAACTGAACATGGCAAAGGGCAAAAATCTTACCCGGTAAGAGCGATGATAAGAATGGAAAGTTTTACCTCGTAAGTGAGGGTGACGACTCTTATCTGGGTAAGCGCTTACCAGGTAAAATTGTTGCATAAGATACGTTTTGATGTACTACAATCTTACCCGATAAAATAAATAATAATGTTGACTCTTAAGATAAGCGTTTACCGGGTAAGCATTTAGGTAAACGGCCCCTTAGAGTTTTAAAATGATAATTTTATACTTAAATAAATACCTTAAATATTATGATTATAAAATATATTGAAATTAAGTTTTGATGATATAACGATCAAACAAAGTCTTCATAATTATAAAATTAATAAAATATTAATAACAACCGTGATAAAAAGTAATTCGTCGATTAAATAAACATTTGTTACTGCATGGGCTAGATGAAAATACAAGAGTGATATAATCGGACTCCATGACATAAGTTTGTAGAGTAAATTACACTGGTATTAYTATTTTTTTGTTAATGCTTTGAATGTTTAAGTTTTTGGAGTAAATTATATAATGTATTAATTATATATAAATAATGTTTAAGTTGGTATTACTAATTTTTCGTTAATACTTTGAATGTTTCGAGTTTTAATCTTATATTAATCAAACTTTTTTTAAAAAAATTAATAGTCTAAAAATGAATCATTTGGATTTATAAAATTTTACAGTATTATAGCATGTCCAGCATATTCCCCATGGAGAATTAAAACTCTAATAAAAATATTATTTCTTTATCATAAACCATTAATATCAAGGATTCCTATCGGTGTGAATATGCTAAAAGAATGTTTCTCTCTTGTTATAGTCATTTTTGGTTTACACTCTCTCATGTTTTCTCCATTTTGGAGAGTTTTGGAGATGCTGTTGGAGCAAAAATATGCCTAAAATCTTTATTTTCTCAATTTTAAAAAATCTATTGAAGATGTTCTTAATTCGGCCCCCCGGATTACAACAGTCGTGTTCCGCCCCTGGCCCTAATTATGTTCATTGAAAACTACTCAATAAACACTTATCAGATAAGTATTTAGTAAACAACTCTAAATTGATGGTTATTTTAGTTTAATTTACATCATACATAATTTAATTTAAATAAAAATAATAAACTCATTTAGCTATTTAAAAAAGTGTAATAATTACACACTATCAAAATTGTGACTTTTCTTGTTGACGTTTATTTTGTGACGAATAAAATATAAAAATACGTTATCAAAAATTGAAAATTATTTGAAGTATATTACTATTGTCTGAGCCTAATCGCAAAATGAGTTATAATTACTAATAGAAGACTTTACTTAATCAAATTAGATTATAAAAAAATTGAGACCAAAAACACCCGAGACGGTGAATTCAAGAAAAAGTATTGTACATGTATTATTTTTCAACGGAGTTTGGACACAATAATAATTTCAATTTCTTAGTTTAATTTAATATTGTAGTTTAATTTAATAATGCAATATACACAAATTTATATTATCACAAGGGCACTTTACTCGTGATAATTGGTTGTCTATTCCAATAAAAGTGACATACATGGGTTCCAAACTCACAAATGCCTTTAAGATATATTAAATTGATATATTAATTAGTAATAATATCTTATCTTCTTGTAATTAATACACATGCATGTATATAATTATCATAAAATCTCATCCTCTTGTAATTAATATACATACATGTGTGTGCAGTGCATATAAAAGGAAAAAAAAACTCAATAATTATTTTTATTTTAAATGATTTAGTTTTTAAACTATTTATTTGCATAAAAAACTCTTAATTTTTTTTTCATTTTGAATAATTAAGTCTTTAAACTATTTTTTTAAATGAAAAAATAATTTAACTTTCATATTTTAAATGATTAAAACCTTGAATTTTTAATTAAAAGAAGTAAATTATCACACTTTTATTAGTCGGTTAATAGAACTTCTTTTGGGTTAAAAGTATGTATGTAATCTATTTTAAAAAGTGTCATGATTTATTTATTAAAAAATATTCAAGGATTTAATCAATCAAAGTAAGAAAATTTAATGATTTTTTAATTAAAAATTAGAAAATTTAATTATTTTTTCATTCAAAAAAATAGTTTATAATTTAATTATT